TTATAATAACGTTAATAAAGAGATTATGAATATAAAATAACAAATATATGTACAAATTACTTATTTATCGATAAAAACATAAAAACATAACAACTTAATAATAATAATAATAATAATAATAATAATACGAAGCAAAGATCTTATGGGATACACAGTGGCAGCTGGCAATCTCGTACCCAGAGCCTGCGTTTCTTCCGGCCTGCGGTGACATGGTGGCTATGACGTAACATGCACATCAAGAATCGTTTGTTATGTAATTTATCAACCTTGTTCATTTTCGTACGCAGCTGTTTAATAGCACCCCCTGGGGGGAGGAGATTAATCGGGAATTTTGTTCTTTAATCTTAAAAGAACTTTGATCAGACAATCTTCAGCAATATCTAGATCGACTAAAACACTTGAAATACAGTCAAACTGTTGTCTTAAATACGATAATATTAATAACGTAAGATTCGAGTCAACTATGAAAGATTTCATGACAGGAAACCAAGGAAAGACTTTGTTTAAACAGAACGAAGCATAAAGCAGTGGTTGTTGAATGATATACTGGTTATAAAACTGAAACATTACAGAAAGAACGAAACACTTACCACACTAAAGTTACTGTAAGCCATTCACATTAAACCCTTCAACTACGATAGATTGTCACGATATGAGAAAGACTTCGAAGTTTGACTCACTTATTCGCTGGTTACAGATGAAAGATTTTAAAGTACGTTTGCTTCGCTGAAGTTTAACAATGCAGTTTCAAGTGTGGGTTTTAATTAGGTGAGAGTTCAATCACGTGAATAATGTACATTTACATATTTTGAGAGGAAATTGTTTTCAATAATGAGCAATAAAAATAATGGCAAAAAGCGCCAAAAACTAAAGTTTCGTATGAGTTTTGATTCCAATTTTCGTTTTGGGTTAACACTCAAAACCATTATTTTAACAGTTAGAAACTGATGTATTATGATAAATACATGTTTGAAGCGGTATTTTCAATTGTACAAAAATGTTTTGTTGCATTTGTGTTAGAATGTTGCTTTGTCAGGCTGAAGGCCTAAATTTCATTTTCGATTCAAATTTTTGCTTTGGGCTAACACTCTGATTCCACTTTCATCCGCTCCAAGTTCTGATTAGACTAAGAAGGCGAGAGAAAAGTAGCAAACAGTCGAAATATTGGATGGCAAGACATTTGGCATGAATTAATGAAATTAACAAATAAATGACTTAATTTAGGAATAGATTCTAATAATCGATGTATGAATGAATGAATGGGTGGATAGATAAAAAAAATGCTTTATTTTGGACGTGACTCGAAAATTTAATTTGAATCGTTTTCCGTTCTAGCCACGTACAAAAGAAAAAGACACTTTCAATTATGTATAAGATAATAGAATCTTTGTAAGGAAAATAGTTACTATTACAGCTGTAACAGTCAAAGTCAAACAAAAGAAAAACTTAAAATAAACCTTTTCGGCGCAATGTTTTCCCATTTAAGACCACTTGTCATTCTCTTGAGAATAAGATTCTTCGTTTAAGCTGTATCCATATTCAYRTGTCTTCTCATGTGCAGTCGGTAAAGAAAAGGAAAAGAAATGATATTCTAGGCAATGACACGTGGTCTGAAATATATGGGAAAAGATTATGCCAAAGCTAAAAAGGTCTTTTGGTGTCTTCTACTATGCATTATTTATGAACAGTTTTGAACAAAGCAATACTGTTGTTAATTGAACATCGGCTCGCATTTCTCATGGCAGCCTCTATCACATACCCCCCCCCCCCCCACGGGTTTCTTGAGGCCGTACTTGCTAGATTACATTATTTTGAGTTAGTTGTTGTGTTTTACTTTATTTTAATTAAAATGGCAAAAATCAAATCAAATGTAAAAATTATTATGCTCTATTTACTATTTTAACAGAACGTGTACATGACCGGCGTTATCTTTAACTCTCACGTACTACCAAGAATAGCTGGTCTGCACCTGCACTTGACAGAGAAAAAAGACCGGGTGCAGGCTACGCCAAGATACGCCGCGATGCCGTACGAATTGTCCTTCTTATTGAAATTCGTATTTCTTCATGAGAATATTAAGACAATTGGTGCTTGATGAAAAAATTAAAGCTCTCTCCAGGACCTTATTTAAAAAAGCAATAATCGAGAATATCTTGAATATATATTGATCATTGAATATCCTCATAACTTATTATTATTATTTATTTATGTATATATTTTTCTCTCTGCTTATTTGATACTTAAATTAGTGCCAAAAATATTATATCAATAATAAACACTATACTTTGTGCCATCTAACTTAAAGTTATCTTTTTTAAAATTATTTTATCTTCTGTTTTTACCTGTTGTTATTACGGACAACCTGTACAGAGACCGGGGGGGGGGGGGCTTTAGCCCCCCCCCACTTTTTGTGAAATTTTCAATACATTTTCACTAAACTCAGCCCCCCCACCTTGCCATACAATGACATTATTGAGCCCCCCCAATCAAAAAACTGCTCCGCCGTCCCTGCTGTACCGTCTTTTCATTTACCTGCCTTAGTATATATATGATTAACAACTGTGTTTACATATTATTTAGATTTGTCAAATTATCTATTTTGTATATATACAAACACATACTGTAAATCCCGATAAGAGTGGTACAATAAAGCTGTTGTTGCTAATTAACTGAACAAAAGAAAGTGTGCAGGGGATTCTGGTAGCGTTGGGTTCAAAACACGTCACGGTCATGCAAACGTCCAGTAATGAACTATGGAGCATTCTATGCGTAACAACTCCCACTTTTGATTCCATTGCTAGTCTACTGTAACTTTTTTAAATATTTTTTTTTACCCTCTTGTAATATTTTCGACTTCACTAGCGTCTGCATATAGGCGCTTTATAAATACTCATTATTAATTTTTGTTTCTGAGAATCTTTTCATTGGATCACCAAGTTCAAGTGCAAGAACTTCTCACATATATATGGAATCAGGAACTGACTCGTGAAAACACTTACAATTACTTCTTCTGTGAATTAAGGGAGTCTTAAGGGTTATTAAGAGTGTGAAGAGGAGAATTACAATTACGAAGTATATTATGCACTCAGTTTGCACTTGAAGATGTATTGCTTTGACATATTCAATGATAATCGAACAAGGACGATTCTCCTGAAAATGTACTACTTCGCTACTGAATCTTCGAGGTGATCAGAAACCTATTCTACTTAATTTGTGAATCTAACTATAGTATTTCTTCCACTTCGCTAGTGAATCATTCGAGGTAATCACAAAGCGCGAAGCAGAAGCCAATATTTGGATAACGAATTTGACCCTTCCCTCTGAAGTTTTTAATCAATGCTAAGAAATTTCGAGAAAAAACATTGCAAAGTGTATTTTGGTTCAGTAAGTGCTTTTATTTCCTTTTTGTATATTAGTTTTAATTATGCATTGTAAAGAACTGGTTTCCCAATAATTGTGTATATCCAATTAAGTTATTATTATTTATAATAATAACAATCTTGAAAGGAAGCAAAGTAGTCTACACGATACTAGATTTCTAAGGCCCCGTTATCACGCATTCGAATATTTTTGAAAACGATTTTTTTTCATTGCGGATTGGCCTTTTCGAAAACGGATATGTGTGGACGGGCGTAAACATACATACATACATCCTTCCTTCCTTTTAACAAACACACCAGTGGCCTCTTCCGTGAGGTTCCCTCCACACACACTACCACTACATTCTATATTTACAGCATACAACACTCAACTCACATGTTGATTTTTACGGGGGGAGGAAACGAAAACGCTAAGTGTGAACGACAGTGTTAAAAAGAAAGAAAAAAACAGAATAAAGGTATCTGTTTTCTTAAACTAATATTCGGATACGCGGGCCTAAGAGAATATATCGCTATATTTATGCAGTATTACTTACCATTCAATCACTCACTTCAGCGAAAACAGCATTTTCCAAATAAACGCTCAACCGACTTCCACCGCGGAGATGGTTCCACTTCATTCTACTGCCAGCAATTAATCACTGCGGCATAGATGGCCATTACCGTCTAATGAATCATATATGATTAATGTTGATTTGAAACTACATTAACAATGAGACGTTAAGAAAGATGTTCAGTTACTTCAACACGACAAATAACAAGTGCTTTACCTAGCTACAAAGTTCTTTTTCAGACAGCGAAATTCTTTAGATTTCGACTCTGCTTTTACAAACTTCATTTGAATATTTTCTCGCTCTGTCATGTCATATAAGAGACTGGCTGCGTTTAAAATAATAAGCCAGGAAAATCAACGTGTGGTGAAAGTGCACGATAAACGTGTATTTAACTAAATAAAAGTAAATCGAAATATTAAAACGTTTGGGAAACGAAGGGTGGCAAAATTGAACTAACGTACGTTTTTGTAATCACTCGTATACACTTTTAATATGCAACACACGTACATTTTCGTTACGAGTATGATTCATACTCATCATTAAGCGTCTAGTCTATAAATAGAGCTGCTCTTCCTCGTAAAACACTAGGAAACCCAATATTACTCAACGAATCTCAAAACTGTTTAAAAAATCTCGGAATTGATAAAAATCTAACTGATTTTATAATCACAAGTATATATTTTTGTAACACTCGTACGTTTTCGTAGCGAGGATGTTTAATAGTCATCAACTTCTCGTCTATAAGTAGGGGTGTTCTTCCTTGTAAAATACCAGTGATAAATCAATATATTTCAAGACACCCAATATTACCCAAAGAATCTCAGAACTGGTTAAGAAATCTCAGAACTGTTAAAAACCTTACTGATTAAAGTTTGCAGAACAGTGTTGATGAAGATGCTTCGGCGGGTGAAAAAAAGCACTCAAGTGCTTGTCTTCATTCTCAACTGACAGCAATTTATAAATATCTTCTAGAAAGTGGCTTTTTTTGGTAATATCTATGTTTTTTTTCACTGATTATGACTAGAGGCTATCAGTTGGGACTGCGTTGGTGTATTGAATCACCGTCTAAAAACGTTTCTAATAACACTAAAGCTTGATTTTACATTTAACAAAATCGTTCTTACACAAAACAAATTTCTCTCAGGATAAAATAGTTTCGTACTGAATGCAAAGAGAAATAAAACTGCTGTAAAAATGGCCGCAATAAGATGTGATTTCATCTGCCGACCAGACTTTATATGTACAGAAAAACCTCTATTATCAAGTGACCGCTTAATAGAGGTTGGTCGCTTAATAGAGGTATAAATTACTGCACAAAACCCTCTTTGAAACTTTGACAACTTGTCGCTCAATAGAGGTTGGTCGCTTAATAGAGGTATAAATTACTGCACAAAACCCTCTTTGGGACTTGGAGAACTGGCCGCTAAATAGAGGTTGGTAGCCTAACTAAGGTTGTAATATATTTTGGCCTAGAGTCATGGGTTGTAGTTCAGAAAGACAGCGTTGGTAAGTTGAAGTGAAAGTTTTCTCTTGTCTATTACTTTTAAGGTGCTTGTCAATCGATTTGCCGGCTCAATACCTCGCCCCCTCCCCTCGGGGGAATTACACTACTCATACTATACACCCCCTCCCCCTCCCCCCGATTAAAAAAAAAATCAAAATCTTAAAAGTATTCAGTTGGAAAAGGTTTTGGATATGACATGAGTAATCCACAAGTTATTTGAATAAAGGAAGTTTTTTTGGCCTCCCAGTAACAGTCATATGATCAATGTCCTGTAAATTGCTTATCCCAAAACCGAGTTTGAGGTAACGTAAGTGATCGATAACATGTAACGTCAGTAAAATCAATATTTCGTTACCCTGTTTCGTTACCCAGATCGATCATCATTCCTGACCGACACCAGGGAAAAACGTTTGCGCATGCGTGCACTTCAGCACGTTTTCTAAGAATTTTGAAGAGTTTGAGTGAGAAAATAAATGTTTGTTTTCTCCAAGTATACAAAAAAGTTCGAGAGTATACTTTTGTCAGACCCAGATACTGTCTTAACAAACACAATATGAAAGAATTAGTCTTACGTTTTAAGCATGGGCACTAAGTTTTGGCATTTGGTGAAGTCCAATTTATCAGCCATGTTTGAAAGTCAAATTTACTTATGTTTTGACTAATTTGCATACGGATTCAGAGCATGCGCAGACGTTTTTCACTCGTGTCTTCCTGGCCTGATTCCAGAGATTTTGAAAATCTAATCGATCATCCGTCGTGTAGTCGTCGGATCGATCGACAACCATTCGCTTCAAATGAGAGCCAGTCTCATTGTCCCATTATTCTATTCACGTATTTCTTCTAATTTCTCTTCAAATATGTCAGCTACTTGTTTTCCTGTCGCTTGTATACTTCTAGAAGTTTCTTGAAGGTTCATGATAATGGAGACAACGATTCCCCCTGGAGGGGTCGGTGGGGAAGTAACGCTGGGTTGGGTATGATAATGAGGGCGAATCAGGAGAACTGAAACTGCGCCCACCGCTCCACCTTATCAAAAGCACAGAAATCTCTTTAGCTTGGGGGTAATGTTTCCCATAGATGAGAAAAACGGTGAAAAAGAAGCAAAAGGGGAGGGAGAAGTGGGAGGAGAAGGAGAAGGAGACGTGGGAGGAGAAGGAGAAGGAGACGTGAGAGGAGAAGGGGAAGGGGGAGGGGAAGGGGGAGATGAAAAAGGAGAAGGAAATGGACGAGGGGAAAAAAAATATGAAGGAAGAATGAAGTAAGAATGGGCAAAAACAGAAGCCATCCACTAATTTTACCTGTATGGAAGATAGTTTGCTTTACGTGACGACAAGCTCCATGGGTCTGTTTATCCGATAACACATACCATCCCCAGCCATACCAACCATCTTTATGGGCTGTACCTTTATTCCTATCCACTTCTTTCCACATTTCTTTTATTGTTTCAGGCTTCAGAATTCCTAAAACCAACACAACAGGAAGAAGTTACGTTTTATCGATAGGTAGAGTGATTTTCGTACGACATGTTGTAAGGTTGATATTTGTAGTCGTACTATAGCCGTACTTATCAGGAGCAATTTCAATGTTATGGCATTTCGTATCGTGTATGTGTTGTAAGTCAGTACCGTATGGTATCCAATCATACGATAACCATTCTTATGGGAAGCCATTCCAATGTTACGGCATGTCGTACCGTGTACGTGCTGTACGTCAGTGCCGTATGTTTCCTACTCATACGAAAACCATTCTAATGGGAAGTTAGATGTTACGGCATGTCGTACAGTGTACGTGCTGTATCGGTACTGTATGTTTCCGATCATATAGAAAATTATTTCTCATTGACACGGTTTTCTTTGTTATTCACAAGGCTTTATTTTTGTTATTACCCTCATTATAAATGCGAGGTCAATATATAGTTAGTTATTAACCCGGTTAATAACTATATATAGACTTCACCAGTTTGATAGGAAACCTTCTCAATTTATAAATAAAATACTTAATTACCTCGAACGTCGGCAATGAGCCTATACATCCCTCGGGCCTGCGGCCCTCTGGACGTATATGGCTTATTGCCTCCGTCCTTGGTAATTAACTCTTACCTACTATAAAACGCATATATAAAGATATTTTCGCTAACCTGGAAGCAATTTATCATCGTGACCAACTTGGCTCGAGTACAGCATAGCATTGCCAAATTTCACCAAGTCTTCTGCTGTTGATATGAAGCCACCGCCTGCCCACTTGTACGAGTTGTCGACGTACGGAGCGTTCACAAGACCATTCTTCTTGTCTCGTTGGTAAAACCTGAAATATAGTCCATTTCTAAGCAATCCAAAGAGAGGGAAACGACAAAGATATGGCAGCCATGTTGGTGGTATTAACTAAGGAAGTTAATTTATTTAAATAGCACTAATAAGGCTGCGATGCCGTAACGTGAAAACTAAGAATTGCTACTATGAGTAGAAAAACATGAGTAAGAATGCCATCTCTTAATCCGCCTGTATTGATGGTTTTTACGGCGGCCATGTTGGAGGAACTTAACAAAAGAATTGTCAATGAATTCTTTTGTTATATCCTCCAACATGGCCGCCGTGTCTTTTGTTATTTAATTCCCGTGGGAATGGTTGAAAACCATCAATAAACTATTCAAGGCAGAACACAAATTTGAAAATGGTTGCAGTACATAGTGCTGACATAGACAGCCCAAGAGTGGTTCTCGTCTCAAAGCACTGTATAGCTAAAGAAGTGGCAAAGAATATGTAAGAGATAGCAGTTACTTTCAAAGATATAGTAAGGTACAAACGTGAACAACCCACATCTGCGCATGCTCTAGCTCATAGTACTTAAATAAATTAGTGCGTAAATTGAGTTGTTAGGTTATACAATTGACATTCAAAGTCGCCTTACCAGGTGATCTTGGGGAACGCGCGCAAAGGATTGTAGTAGTTCATCAGGCGGTCCTAGTTTAAGTTGTTTATCGGCGAACAAAGAGCTATCATTTTACGATAATTTTATAAACTAATTCAAACAACAACGTATCATTTGACCCATAGGTATTCGTTATAAAAATAGGTAGAATTTTAAATGTATTGCTAGTCCGTAACGTAGCTAGGGAAGCAAAGATTCAGAGTAATTTTTCTGATTTCGGTCGCCATGTTTTTTTTGGATGGACCACCTGATCAGATTTCTTCCTGCGTAACGATTGACTGGTTTTTGATGGGCTGTAAAAACGAGGTCACCCGGTACATTCATAGTCGTCTTACATTCAGATTTTACGAAATGTCAAAACTTATCTTTAATTCTCAGATGAATAATTAATTTCTTGATATCATTAATATTTATTTATTGAATATTTCTAAATTAATATAATAATAAAAATATTATTAATTTAATTGGAGATTTGATGAGATTTGAGTCACTAAAAGTTGAAAGACAGGGCAGCCATGTTGTAACACTTCTTGTACGTCACACATGGCCAAACTTACCGTGCTCTGTTGTAAATAATTTGATGATTGAATTCAGGCCCCGTGTTATTCATTCCTAACTCACGGAACAATTTCTTCATGTATGAAAGAAAGTCTTCTTGAGCCGCCGATTCTATTACAGCACTGACCATCGTGTACCCATGACTTGTGTACAGAAATTTCTCCCCAGGCTCTCCGACCAAGGGATCGTCTTGAAACAGCGCAAGAGACTCAATGATTGTCTTTGGGTCCTGGGTGTCATAAGACATAAAACATGAAAAATCTTGAGACATAAATGGATCTCATGAATCTTACCATCGGACAGGCAAACACTGCCCGTCATGTGATATTGACCAGAGAATATTATTGCAATCATCTGAATCATCTATGTACATTTTTGTAACGGTTTTATTTTAATATTGGAGTTATTGATGTGAGATTTGAGTACTGTTGAAGACTATTTCTATGTACCTTGATATAATATTCTTCATTGTCAAACTCTTTCTTGTTCTCTTTCCGAGACTTTCTCTCGGATTTTGACAGCTTTTCGGTATTATCTGAGTAACAAAATCGAATGTAAATGTCACTGATTAATGCACCGACTTTTTTAACTTTCCTTCAACTTTACCATTCACAAAGATGTTAATACTGATGCCGTGACAAGGGCGTGGTAAGGGCGATGATGATGGATGATGGTAGTAATAACAGCTATGATGACGTTGGTGATGATGATGATTATCAGTGGCGATGACGATGGCGATGATAGTGAAGATGACGGTAATGATGTTGAAGATGATGAGCCGATGGTGGTAATTAATGATGATGATGGTGGTGATGAAGATTGTGACGATAAAGGTGGTCAAAATGATGGTGATGACTATTATTACCTTTCTCTTGGTCTTGATTACTAGTCGCAGCATTATCTTCTTTCTGAAAAAAAAACCCCATAAAAGTCTGATACTTTTCGCATTACAGTGCAACTACTATAACTGGGGCCACTTAGACAGGGAGAGCCAATCACATTGTAGAATAGAAACGATACGTACATTCTGACTTTGGGTAGTGTAGCCAATCAGAAATCAACAGAAAACAATAGTCTTTCAACATATCTTTTTATTCCCACAAGAAAATGATGATCGCTTTTTAGTTGTTTACACAGAACACCAGGGCCAAATTACAATTCTCGTGCAGTCTAGGTTTCTGATTGGCTCCACTACCCAAAGTTGGAATTCATTGTTTTCATTCTACATTTTGATTGGTTCTCTTGTCTAACTATGCAAGTGGCCCCGGTTACAGTAGCAATACAACATAACATAACTTTACCATAGACGTAATTTTGAAAATAACGTGATTGTATTTTGACGTAATTGTATCGTGACGTGATTGTATCGTGAGCAGAGACACAAGAGAGATCGTTGTGTTGTCTTGTTGTGTTGTGAGGAGAAACAGAAACTCTGTATTATAACTTTGTCGTTCCTGGTAGAATCAGTTTTAATTACTGATGTATAGCTCCTTCGCGGGAGTTATTAATCAATCTACCGTGTATTTGATTTTCATTGTACAATAAAGTCAGGAAGTCCAAAACGCAAGTTTTTCCTACAATAATAACAATAATAATAATAATAATAATAATAATAATAATAATAATAATATATATGGCTTATATAGCAGTTATACAAGTCTGTTCTAAGAAACTAGAAATATCTCTAATTGAAGAAGGTAGAGTGTTCCAGAGGAGCGGAGCAGCAACTGAGAAAGAACATAGATAATATGATTATAAAGAAAAAGCTAACTTAAATAAATGAGTCTTGAGTTTAGATTTAAATAAAGATAAACTAGAAATATCTCTAATTGAAGAAGGTAGAGTGTTCCAGAGGAGCGGAGCAGCAACTGAGAAAGAACGTAGACCATATGACTTGAGATTATAGGATTTTGAAGACAGCAACAAGTGAGAAGACGAGCGAAGATTTCTAGCAGATTTGTGAACGAAAGTAAACGTACATCCTACGAGCTCGCGGAAATAATTAACGGCATTAATGGTATGGAGTATTCTTCTCGAACATGAGAGATCTTTTCCGCCTGTAGTAGAAGGATTCTTTATCTTTTTCATTAGTCTTAGCATGAGGCCTACTTAACACCCTGTGCGACGCACGGTTACTTTACTTTATTAAACTTTTCTTTCTCAAGCGAGTGACCTAGGTTTTGGACCCTATTGACTACCGCAATCGCATTAAAGCTTTTAAATATCGAATAGTGGTCATGATAAATGTACACACGTCAACCATTGTTTATAAAATGCTAACTAATGATTGGCTGACTTGCTAAGCAAAGTGAGTTGGAACATTTATTGTGAATTTTGATCAGCTGACAAAATCGTTAAACTGAGGTATTTTATATTACTATCAGTGCACCCTGCTAGAGGGGGTCTCGGTTGGGTTTAGGGGTAGATTAATGTTGGCTTAACACGGGAGAGGTAAGACCAGCTTATCTGAACCTAACGCTCGATTAATGAAATGTCTGTCAAGATGATGATTATCTGGATAATATTAATCTATGTGAGAATATAGCGGCCATTGATTTAATTAAAAAGTACTTAGAGATAGATATAAATGAAAGAAAAAAAAGATGTTTGATATTGACCTTGCTAATATTGATTGAATGGCGAAGAACGGTTCCTGGATAAGCTTGGACTTGATAAAACACAGAAAATGCATGGACAAATCAAGCTCGACTTGAAATCATTCTGGAAAGGTCATTTATATAACTGAAATCTGCAATGCTGCGTTAGCTAGGCCATTTCATTCATAGGCCATATTATTATTATTAGTGTGTGTTTTCAATTCAAGTAATCAGTTGCAAATTACCTATTTGTAGTGAGATTTACAATTGTAAATAAAAAACAAAATATGAAATAAAGCTTCCATTATCATTATTATTATTATTATTACTATTATTATTATGTGACCAAGTGGATGTTGAACGGCAAAGATGATGAAACTCATTGCAGGTCTTTTCCAAGATAGGTCGCAGGAAAAGAAGTGAAACTAAAACTAAAACTTGGACTAAACAAAAACACAACTAAACAGCACAAAATCTGGAGCAGAACTGATTTATTTTTCAAATTACGAATACTGTTGCGTGATCACTTACATCATCATTCCAAATATGGCTAGTACAAACGTAACGCAACAAACTCGACTAAATCTTCAACCAGTATGTTTTCAACCAGTTTTCAACTTGGTTACAATTAGTAGTAGTAGTACACTACTCATAAAAAACTACAATCTTGTGTATATCGTACACCCACATGCAACGACCAAGCTAGCAGTGACTTCAGTGACTTCAATAAATTTCGTCATCACATTGTCAAAGTAGTATGCGGTTCCACTCGGCTACCCAGCTTAATTCATGTTACTATAGAAACGAATATAGGTACTGTAAGCGAAACCTATAGTGTGTAACACTGTGTTCTGGAATGAGGTAGTTTAGTTTTCCCTTCTGGCTTTGTGTTACGAATCGATCCAGTCGTATTGTATTCTATGGTATATTTAAAGGTAAGAATGAGTTCCTCTGCTTGATCATTATTAGCAGACAATGGGACCCCTTGCGTCGAGTTGTTCGCTACCATAACTTCGGATGACCTCATTTTACTGTTAAACGATAAGCCACTGGTCATAAGATATAAGATCTCTCAGTTAAACCGCTCGCCAGTTATTATATAAGCAAACCACTCTCTCTGTAAAGAGTTTCTAGCTACTGTACGTCAGGAAGACCATCAACAAACGCGGGAAACGAAAACATACAGGTAAGACAAGAAAGTTTACAATTATCCGTGCGCAGAATTAACCGTTACCACACCAGCAAAAAGAAAAAAAAAAAGGCGAAAATACTTTGCAACGGTTGATATAAAGAAAAACATTGCTACAATTAGTTGAGGAATTTTATTACAAATTTAAACGAACTAAACTACGTCTCGGCAAACTGGAAACAAAATCTGCACCCAAACGATGTTGGTAGCCCAGGCTGAAAAATTGCGCAACTCATTTGCTAAAAAAAATTTTTCGTGTGCAGTTTAGTTGATTTTTAAAAGGTTTGCCGGAGAAGCACACACTAAAACAAAATATTATAACATAAGTTTCGTATTTTACAGCCAACTTTTTGAACCATAAGGAAAATTGATTGATTTATAGTCAACATTTTGATTATTTGAAGAAGATAGAAAGTAAAACTACAACTGAAGCGAATGAAAAAAAGGATCTTAAATCAGATTTGCTAGTATTATAGTGTTTTTTCCCAACTGGAAACTTAAAATGCAGTTTCATTAAACTAGCTTCCTATCTAAACCAAATAGAAAGAAAGAGAATACACAATGTCCAATCACATTTATTGATTTGAAAAGCCATTTGAAAGTCAAAAAGTATACATGGCGCTTTGACCTTGAAATGGCTTCCTGAAAATTGTGATGTAGATTCATTAGCAAAATTATATGATCAAAAATCGAAATCTATATAAGAGATTGCCTGGTTTTGCATGAGGTTAGTAATAAAACAATGATGTTTTTTCACGACCACACAGCAGCACAGCTGTAAAGGTGATTATCACCGTTGGAAATAGAGACGGTGATGCCAAACTAAACATCAAGAGTTCTCGATTCACTAAGAAGGGTTAGAGTAACAAAACGAGGTCAAATATATCTGGGAAGAGAAGATTAGAACGAAATAAGAACATAATGTCATAAGTCATAGCGGCCGTGTTGGTTGACGATAACCGCAAAGCATTCATCATTAGCTTCTCTTGTTATTTTAACGAAAATGGCGGCTCCTACATTGTGATTTATCTCAAGGGATTTTGAGTGGTTGCACTCCAAGAATTGCTTGATTTCACTTAGCTGAGAAAAGTCTTCGAATCTCATTATCTACTCCAAATGGTGGTCAAACACTGACCACCACGTGCTGTCAACCAGAAACAATTCTGTTGAAAACTTATGACTCAGCTGATGATCATTCTGCACGACACAGGAAATGATGTCTAGTGAAACCCAGCAATAGGCACCACCTCTTGAATCTCATGGATTGTTTATGCACATAAAATATTTCTTTGGAAGACTGAAAGAAAAAACGAGGCAATTTCTCTTCATCCACTTCATTCAGGTTAACTTTCACGTCAGTTTGCCGGCGTCATCATCGGATGTGATTAATTTTCAAATACAATTTTAGGACTTATCTTGGTCAAAGATATCTCTGAAGTGATGGTCTTGAAGTAGTTAACTTGTGTGATAGCGGGTATAGCTGTGTTTGTACAAGGTCAGTGATCATTAATGACAGATAGTAGAATCATTTAGCAGGTAATGAAGTGTTATGTGTATGCCCTAAGTTAGCCTTCTTGCATTATTGAATTCCGTTTTTTGTTTGTTTTTGTTTTGTTTTAATCCATCTTTGTTTTCGTACTATTTAATCACTTGAATTTAATTGCTCGGCGATTGTTCGGTAGTAATTCATGTGTTTAATGATATACAAGTGTAATGGAATGTTCAACATGTGAAGTTTTAAAAACAAAAGCGCTGCATAACAAAACAAACAAAGGAAACCCCGAAAATCTGGCTCTATTCAAGGCGATACAGATATGTATTGCGTGCAATGTTATTTTTCGTATTTGAAGGGCTTCTAAAAATTCCACTCACTTGAAATTTCAGGAGCAATAAGTACAATGCCCAAACTAATCATAATGTCGCGCAGAAAAAGATTCTTCGTCGATTTGTTTTTTTATGGCGCCGTGAATAGAAACAATATGTGTAATAAAGGCGAAAAATGCTTACTTTTCTAATTTTGTATTTAATTGCAATCAGGCCAACCGATTGATCTCGATTTCTCATCATCACTGGTTACTACATTGATAAGCGAAAATATCGTAAAAATAGTTTGTCAAAGACCGAAATTAATGCATTTTGAGGATATCACGGGACTCCGTTGATATTTCATAGATTCACGATCCAAAAATATTAAAACTCGAATAATTTTAAAACTGAACAATGAAAATCTCTGAAACTTTCTGACCTTGAAGACTACCATAGTATGTTTCAGATAGTGAACTCCGTTTCTCCGGGTCTGGTCAGATTACGCCAAAAAATAGATTTAAAAAATAATCACATGGCGTCACTGTGCCTTCTGGGCGTGTCCGATGGTCACGAAATACACACGATTTAGAACTTCCATCTATCCCTACGCTTAGTGTAAACTCATATTTGGCCAAGGTATATCTGGTGCCGCGCAGTTTGCAATACAAGTAGAGGAGTCGTGCTTCAAAATTATTGTATCGAGCCACCTTAATCGGTGTTTATCTAGAATAACACTGTAGAACTTACTTACATCTAATAATAAGAATTTAACTTATTCTCGACTTAATATGATGCATCACTTAATATAAATGAGTGAACAAAGCGGAAAGGAAAAAAATGTATGAAATAAGTAACAGTCCATTCTTTACTCATCCTCGCAACGACAAATTAAAATTTCTAATATTAGAAGATATATTTTACGAATCCTAAGAGTCAATGTAAAATAACCTGGATCAAATGCTTCAAGGACGTTTTTCTATTTCCATCCGCTACCCCTCCTCTCTCCTCCTCCTTCCTCCTTCCGCACCGTCTATTATCGATTACCGCTTCAGGCAAAATTGCTCATATTATGCTCATTATGAGGTGTAATCGTTGTCTGTAGTGGGCGTTTGTTCGTGTTTCAATTAAAAGCACCATCTAAACGTGAGGTTTTAGTCTTGTTTTACCAACGTGGTAAGTTCTTGCGAACAAGACTGATAGTGATATTGGTAAGTAAGCTTTGCAACTTTTTTTTGTCCCTGCGTAAACTACACTTAAGAGAATATACTTAAGCAGAGTAATATACTAATAGAGTATAGAAATATAATCTGAAAACCTATGGACTACGAGCTTTCTCAACTTGTGCTCCCAAACTTTGGAACGATTTAACATATCATATACGAGCCAGCCAATCAATTGACACTTTTAAACAAAATCTAAAAACTGATTTATTCAAAAAATACGTTATTTAATATATCTCATACCTTTGTATAATATTTTAACTTTTACTACACCTTTTGCTGTTCATTAA